CAACCGATTATATGAATGAAAGAACGAGAGAGAGAGAGAGAGAGAGGGAGAGGGAGGGAGAGAGAGAGAGAGAGAGAAGGAGAGAAGGAGAAATGGCAATGAATTATAACCTATAAAAAGTCTCCCTGCTCGAGCAAGCGCAGGTCAGCTGCGGAATATTCAACAGAAGATACGAGTACGGAATGCAGAAACGAAAACAACGAGTGCGGGTTAGGGGCGACGAAATCGATGTCCCGATATTAGGACCCCCTCCTCTCTTACCTTTTCCTTCCGCTCCCTCACCGTCTTTCCCTTTCATTCTGTCCCATTTCCTTGTTTCTTTTACGTTCGGTGCGGATAGGGCTTTTGTTGACTCAAACGTCCGTCGGAAACGCGCGGCACGGGGGGTGAGCGAGAGAGGACGAGAGAGAGAAAGAAAACACAACACGAACTGCTAGGCGAGTGAAAATAGCGAGGGGATACAGTATGTAACGAGGGAGCCAGGAAGCGTTTAATTCGGAGCAACCGAAACCTGGAAAGGCCGGAGGAGGAGATAGCGATCTTTCGTGTACGACGTCGAGGCAACTCCCCCAAAACAGGCGGGGGGCGGGCTGGCTAGGGGGGTGGCGGGGCGCTGCCAGCCGGCCGCGGGACGCCCCCACGCCGCCCCCACGCGCCCCACGCCAACCTGCTCGGCTGCTATTTAATGGCATTTAGCAAAAACCCCGCGCATAAAAGAGTAAAAAAATAAAAAAGAATCAACAATAGTAAATTAAAATGATTGGTGGGTCTTAACATGTCAGCACGCGGCCCTCTGACCGACACCTCCGCTTAATAAGGGGGGGTGTGTGTTTTACATCTTGTACATATTTTTGGGCCTCCTGCGGCTGCCTTCCCGCGCCGCATGACCGCCTGCCGTACCTTCAATGTGTGTGGGAGTGTGTGTGAGAGAGATAGCTAATAAAGCGCACAAGGATGTATGTTTAATGAATTCTACGCACGCATAGATTTTTCATAATCATTTTTTCTGCGCTTTGCTGCAAAACCGGATAGCGTGTTAGGTCTATCAGTATACATGCAGCAATCCGTTCGAGAGCGGTCTACTTTACAAAATTTACCGTGTGATGATTTCATCTAAGGATTGAAGGGCACCTGCCGGCACCTGCCGGCACCTCCCGCCCACACACAGACACACGCACACCTACGCACACTAACATACGAACGGCGCTTGGCCCCGCGCAATTGTAATGCATGTATGATAATGACAGCATCATACTGCAACACAATGGCCCTCTCCCGCGGATGGATAACTACAAGGAAGGCGCGAGTGAAAAGGACGACAAGAAATTCCTCGTCTTAGGCGAAGAGAGGAGGCGGGAAGTGAGATTTTCAATGGATTATTACTTCATTTTTAAAAAAAAATCTCTTGCGAAGATGACTTATCAGCATATAATGGGCGAAAACAAGGCGGAACTTGTGCTGTTCACTCGACTGCCCACGCTACCCGCCGCCCCTAGTACTTTTAATTTGAATGTCGTTCTAATTGTGTGCTTATCACGGCACCAAGGTAGCTTGCTCGCGGGCCCCCGCGTCCTCCCCAAGCAGCCGCCGGGCCCCAGGCCGTGTATACTTGTTGGCCTCTGGCGGTCCGGACCCCCATTTTGGAGTAAAGTGTGTAATTTAGTCATAGAGCCGTCCGGAATAGCTGGTTGTCACGTTGGGCACACACGCACAAAAACACCCACGCGCTCAAACTCACACAGACGCACACACACACAAGCGCACGGGGGCCGACCCTACAGGCAGTAAAGCCAAAACCCCACTGCATTGGACCATTCTCATCAAACGGAGGAGGAGGGGATGAGTGGAGGCGCCGCGCAGAAAATAACCCAATGACAATATAGAGGGCCCCTCCTATCCTCATTTCCATTTTCCCCTCATCAATTTTTTTTACGCGTCTCTCGCTCTCTCTCTCCACCCCCTGGCGCCCTCTTCTTCCCCCTCAGCCGCAGACGACGATCGCGCGAATACCCGCTCACCGCGCCAATGCAGCACGTCCATTACACGATTAGACGAATAAGAGCATCAGAGAGAGAGAGAGAGAGAGAGAGAGAGAGAGAGAGAGAGAGAGAGGGAGGGACACGGTAAGGGAATGGGGAAAAAAGGCTAGATTAATTATCGAATTTCACGGGGCCCCTACTTCTGGTTGCATTGCGGGTGCAGAGGGCAGTAGAGGGGATCAGCGGAAGCGGTTTCAATTTAATTCCCCCCACCCACTAATCAAGTCGTTTGCGAAAGGCCCATGCAGATTTTTCGTTGTTTCCTTCTACTTTTTTTTGTCTTTCCTGAAATGCTAAGAATGAAGGAGCAGCAGCAACACCAACACTGCGAACGCAACCACTTCCCATAGGTTTTTGCGTTCGCTCTGCCTAGCAGCGCAGGGCGGTGCATGCGTGTCCGTGAGAGCGAGCGAGAGGAACGTCTCCGCCGCGTTGCGGAGCCCGTGGTCCGGTCCGGTTGCATCGCCCTCCGGAGCCCTCGTGGCGGCCAGGCCAGCGCGGCTTGCCGTGTGGCCTGGGCACCATTTCACGCCGAAAAGTGGCGAACGGAAACCCCATTAGAATACCGTACACACACGCACACAGCCGACGGCCGGGACGCGGACCGGGCCTAGAGCAAACCCTATGAAAATGTTTGTTGTGTGTTGGTTTTGGGATTGCGTGTCCCGCAGCACCTCAGGTTGGGACGCCGTGGGAACGCGGGGGGGCCGTGTGGGGGCCGTGTGGGGGAAGGGGTGCTGAGTGGTGGTACACACCGCACAGAATGTTGTGTGAACTGCCCACGATAAGTGCCGTAGGGGGCGAGCAGAGGACACAACCGAATGAAATTCAGTTTTGTTTTTTCGTCCCCCCCCCCTCTCTTTTCCCCCCTTTTCTGGCTGGAGCGGTAAAACTCAACATTTTTATGTACACGCCGACCTTTCACTCCTCTCTCTCTTTCTTTCCTTCTCCTTGTGTGTGTGTCTCTCTCTCGTCTCTTGCTAATGTGTGCAGCGCGTCTGATGTTCTTTCGCTATCCATCGATTACATAACGAGCTTGGCGCGAGGTGAGCGTTCGAACACGCGCCCAAGTGTGACGTCCTTGTCGAGCGAGAGAGAGACGGGGGG